ACACACAGTTCTCAAACTTACCAGTTTTTTTTTTTTTTTGTTTTGCTTATTTTTTTTTTTTTTTAATGTTTAAAATTTACAAGTTCAAAAAAACAACTAATTAATCAAATTAATCAATTGAATATACATTTATGATTTTTGCAAGTAAATAATAATAAAAGATTAAATGAACTATAAGAAAAAAGGAAAAAAAAAGAAATGTGTATGCAATGAATTTTTTTTTTTTTTTATCTATGCCTTAATTGTTTTCGATTTACTCGCTGAAGACCTAAATGCTAATATAACCTTTGACATAAGTACAATTTTTCTCACTTTTGCAACATTGTGAGATACTTTTTCGGTAAAAACTTTTTGTTCTTTACGAGCTCTTAATTTTTGTTTTCGTGCAGGTGTTGGACATACTTTAGCAGTAAATTCAAATGACCAATACCTAAATATTATAACTTTGACAAGATCCAAGACTAAGAAATAGGTAAGTGATACTCCAATAATAGCAACTCCCCAAGCCCAGCCAATTGCTGGTGTAAGAACACCATAGATAGAAATAAACATGGCAAAAATTTGAGTTCCCATAACGGCAATAAAGAAAGTTGGTGAAGGAAGGCTTTCCCAGAAAAATCCAGAAAGACGAGTAGAAAAGATTACAAAATGTGGGCATGATGAAATGTGAAGATACATAATAGTTTCCATTCTTTTATCTGGATCACTAGCATCCTTTGGAATACCGAATACATAATGTGCTATGTAAAAGTGGGCGAAAGATGCAGCAGTCAAAAAGATACCTAAAACTATTGATAAGGTGATCAATTGTCCAAGACGCCATTTATCAGGTCTTTCAGAAATCTTTGTATTATCGACGGAAATAACAAGAGTGGCAGCATCGTTTAATAAGGTAATTAAGATTAAAAGAATGGTTCTCATTTCCCAATTTTCAGCAAGGATAATACAGAAGAAGAACATTAAAAAGTGTACGGTGGAAGTGATACGATAAAGGGAGTAAGACCTCATACGTTGGAAAATAGCACGTGAAGTCATGATACCGTCGACAATAGTAGAAAGACCAGGAGCTAATAATACAATATCAGAAGCTGAACGGGCGGCATCAGTACATCCATGTACAGCGATACCAACATTAGCTTTCTTTAAAGCAGGAGCATCATTAACACCATCACCAGTCATACCAACAAGAAGACCGCTCTTTTGTAATAACTCAACGACACGATATTTATGTTCAGGAATAACTTGAGCAAAACCATCAGCACGTTTACAATGAGCAGTAACTTCTTCTTCAGTCTTATCAGGATCAACTAAATGATTAGCGTCAAGAATTACACGATCCATTCCAAGTCTCAGAGCTACTTCTTTTGCAATAATTAATTGATCACCAGTAATCATTTTAACATCGACACCATAAGAATTACAACGTCGAATAGTTTCAGCAGAGTCAGGACGAGGAGGATCGAGAAGAGAAATCATACCGACCAATTCATAATTATCATTATCACCAGTAGTACGAGCGACACCAAGAGCACGAAGACCACGAGCAGCCAAAGCATTAACAGCACGGACAGCATCATCATCACCACCAACTAATTTAATTATGACTTGAGGAGCACCTTTAGCCACTTTAAATACAGAATTATCTTCAAGATTAACGACAGTAGCGTTAGTCATCTTTGTAGTAGGATTGAAAGGAACAAAAGCGGTAACTTTATATCCAGGAACTTCATGTTTATTTTGACGATTTTTAAGAATATCAAGTGCTTCTTCAGCAGCAGTACGAACGGCAGATTCAATAGGATCATTAGCACCAGGTTCAGCAGAAAGGTAAGAATAAAGTAAAATATCTTCTTTTGTATAACCACTTGATAAATAAGGTTCATCAAAGGTAAGTTCGTTAAGAGTTAAAGTACCAGTCTTATCAGAGCAAAGAACAGAAACGGAAGCCATTTCTTCAACAGCAGTAAGACGTTTAACGATAACTTTTTTAGCGGCAAGTTGTTTAGCACCGACAGCCATAGTGACAGATAATACAGTAGGAAGACCAACAGGAATGGCGGCGATAGTAAGGACCAAACATTTACCAATAACCACAAGGAAGTTACCGTTTGGAGTTCCACGGAATATAACCATTTGATAAATAAAGATAATTCCGACCAATACAACAGTAATTAAAATTAAAAAGTTTCCGATAGCATTAACAATTTTTTGAAAATGTCCTTGTTCAACAGTGATAGAAATTAAATTGGCGGCACGACCGACAAAAGTATCACCACCAGTTTTTGTAACAACAGCCAACATTTGACCTTGTTTTACTATAGAAGAAGAATAAACGGTAGCACCCTTTCCTTTTTCCACAGGTAGAGATTCACCAGTCAAAGCAGATTGATCAATTGAAAGATGAGCATCAGTTTCATTACCAGTTACCGAGAGACCAAGTAAACGAGCATCAGCAGGAACAATATCACCAAGACGAAGACCGATGACATCACCAGGAACTAATTCAGCAGTATCAACTTCAACGAATTGACCATCACGCCAAACTTTAGCTTTTAAGGCAAGAGTTTGCTTCAAAGCGTCCAAAGCATTTTCGGCACGAGCTTCTTCAATGAAACCGATGAAAGCATTTACAATAAGTAAAGCCACAATAACACCAAAGTCAAGCTAAACAATAATAAATGAAATAATAATAATAATAATAATAATAATAATAATTATAATAATAAACAATAATAAAAATATTAACAAATTTGTTATTATATTTTTATTATATTATTATATATTATATATTATTTATATTATATAAATAAAATAAAATTAGATCAATCATATCTCCGAAAGTAAATCCGAGTAACTCATTTCACAACAAGAATAGGTAACACAAATAGAATTACCTAATTTGTAATATATTGGTGAAATGAGAAACTTAATATAGAAGTGTTACCTACCCAATCTTGGACAACAGCAGCAAATATGCCAGCTAATTCAATCAAATAAGCAATAGCGCCAGTGAAATAAGACAAAAACTTTAAGAAAGGATTTGTTTTAACTTCAGCAATTTCATTACGACCAAATCTTTCTAATCGGTCTTTAGCTTCTTCAGATGTTAAACCTTTACTAGGATCAGTTTTGATCAACTCCTCTAATTCTTCTGAAAGTTCTTCAACATTTTCAACATGCTTATGTTCTATCAGTTCGACGGGCTTTTCATTTTTCACTTTGCTAGTACTACTAACTTCTTCAATAGTAATCTTTTCTTCAGTAATTTCAGAAGACATTATTAGGTACGTAAAAATAAATTTTTTTTTTACAGTCTATGTGTGAATAAAAAAAAAAATACAAAATTTACACTAAAAAAAAGAAAAATCTGGGAAATTAAGTTCTATATGAATGATAGATTAATTAGAAAAAAAAAAAAAAAAAAAAAGGAAAAAAAAAAACACTAAAGGGAATTGTTTGTAAAGTAAAATTAATTAAAACAAAATCCCCTTGATCAGAGTAATGCGAAAAGAGAAAACCCTTCAAGGTAAGTTAAACCAAAGAGGGAAGAACAACTTTTAGCAGAGCATTAGTATTCGGATATAATTTTTTTTTTTTTTTTTTTTTACATTCAGAAGCCAAAGCTAATCGCATTTATATATAGCTGCAAAATAATAATGATAACACAGAACACACGTTTACAGGGAGATAAGGAAACCATATTGCTTTTGGTACATTATTGTTACACTTGATAATCTGGTAACCGCTTGAAACATCGATTCAAACTATATAATTATATATTATGAACATATATATACTATGTGTAAACTAATAATATTATGTGTAAACTAAAATAAATTATCTCCGATAAAATTAATAAATCTGAGCTTAAAGGGAAATAAATGGGATTTATCGTAATTTTAATATATTTTAATAAATTTTTTTTTTTTTGACGGTACAACCTTAATTACATTTCTTTTGATATATAATATATTCAATTGATAAGGTCACGTGCCAATACTTGCATATATTATTATTAATTTATGCGAGTAAAAAAAGCTCAGTTTGTCATAACGATAATGGACGTGTTTGATGCACATATTGTCACCTGTTACCATCCACTAAGCCCTTTAAATTTTTACCGATTTTTGATTCCGTAGACTTGAATTAAATAGGTTAGATTAAAAAATTTTTTTTATTTAAAAAGTTTAGTAATATAATTGGCCCGAATTTAATTTATTCAAAATACATGCTAAAAGATGTGCTAATATGTGCCAAGAATTTTTTATATCATCAAATAAAACTACTTTAAATAATTTATTTTCTTTTAAATACATAAATAACGATTTTATCCAATAATTTTTTATTTTTTTAAAAAAATCCACGTTTGATTATATTGATAATGCAGATTTTCTCTTTATCTGCATTATCAGAGCTTATTTAGCATGGTATGAAATGTATAATTTATAAATTTAGAAATAAAAAAAAATTTTTTTATGTTATTATGTAAACACTTTATTGATAAATTTTCTTTATAAAGTAAGACAAAAATGTATATTGCAAGAAATTTATTCAGAACAATTTTATTACCAGATTTATTTTATTTTTGATGAATAAATAAAAAGTAATATAATCTTGACGTAAAAAAAAAAAAAAGAGCATTTCTAAATTTCTAAACTAAAGAGAGATCTTCATTTTTAAGTATAAAAGGGTTTACTGAACAATAAACCAATATAGTAATTGTCATGCGAATGAAAACCGACTGACCGAGAATAACAATGAAAATGATGAACAGTATTAATGTCTTTTTTATACATATTTAGTTTAGTATTTATTATTATCTATGGTCTAAGACTTTGTCGACTTAGTATTCGGGCCGATCCTTCGTTGATAGGTCCTTCCCAGTTTTCATTTGAAAAAAAAAAATGGTTTTTGGTTCATCTCTACTGATGAGCAAATTAAATTATCTAACGATAAAGTATTGGTTTTTTAAAAAATCTAATCTTAATCATAAATAACCCAATGTCGAATTGTCGATTATAAATTAGATATTAGATCAAATAGATGGATGTACAATATATAAATACAAACGGCTCTTACCGTTCCCCGCTTGTGCTTTCGATGAATAGGATTTGCAGGTTGCATTACATACTATACATTGCATGCATGCATACATAAATATTATTATCTCGCTAAGATATTGTTAAGAAATCCACGATCATATACAAACATTAACTAATTTTTTAACGATTTTTGTGATTTTAGAAATTATTGAAATAAAGTTTTAGAATTTAGAAACATTTCGTTAAATATTACTTTTTATATGTTTATAATAAATATTATGTATTGTTTTGCGATTTTACGATACACTATTAAAAAGCAAGCGATACCCCGACTTTACATTTACGTGGGTAATACAATTCCTAATAAAGAAATTTTCTAATAAAGTTCAGGCTTCAAATAAAACACGTGATATGCTACTTTATTGGTTATTTCTTTTTTGAGTCTGTATAACATAAGTACTGAAGTAAGGCCGCAAGTGGTCCTCACACTAGTCCTAATAAATAAATAGAAAATAAATGGATATCACACAGTGACACGTACGTGTCACGTACGTGTCACATATCAGATATCAGATATATAAGCGTTTTATACGTACGTACGTACGTGCGTAAAATGTTTCATAAATGACACATGGATCTCATCAACAAAACCATTTAATAGGTAATGAGCGTGGAAAATGTGGAATGTGTGGAGGTGGGGATGGAAAGTGTGAAAAGTGTGAGTACGAATAACAAAATTAGATCACGTCTCGTGACATTTACTTGTTTCCAAGAAATAACTCCGAGAAAAAAAAAAATCTAACATGATCATCGATTTGCATAACCTTCCATCTAAATCACAAAATTCACAAAGACCTATCACGCATGCCATGAATGTCATCCTTCTTAGCAATTCTTGGCGCCTATCAAAAAAACAGTTATTCCTTATAGGAATGTAACACACGGCATATATACGGCACTCACCCATGCGGTTTGTGCCGAACTATTTTTATATTTGTTTGTTATCATAAATCAATTTCCCAATTTTTTTATTCGAATTGTCGTCATATTATTCATGCACCAAATACGCCCAAGATAAGTATCTATATCGATATCAAAACTTTTTCTTTGTCAATAAATCACGTGCCAATTTATTTATTTAATCAAATTGTAAAACTACGTATTTCTAATTTTACCCCGAATGCATTTTCCCCTAGGTTATGATGCATTTAGAGGGGTATGCATTTATGAATTAATTGCGATTGGGAGAAAATTTTATAACCATGGTATTAGGTGTTATTAGGTATTATTAAGTGTGCCGTGAGTTTAGGAGGTAGCTTTTCGTTCAATCTCATCGTATCGCTTGTATTGCTTGTATTGTCTGTACTGTATTTACTGTTCGTATGTATGTACGTACGTACGTACGTACGTACGTGCTTGTTTCGGTGAATTTTTTCCCCATTCTACCACGTATTAACCATGTGGTGATGTCATTTATTTTCTATTCTCTTTTTTCGGTTCAATCGATGCTTTATTTAATTTTGACATCTTATTGGCAAACATAAAAAAAAATAAGATTCGAAACATCTTTTGGCGTCTCAGGTACGCATTGCTTAATGTCACATATCCGAATAAGGTTACATACATGCTTATACGTGCAAATTCCTAATAAGTTGTCATTAACATTCATTAACGGTAAATTTCTTTTTACCACTTGCTTTTTTTGGTGTCAAATACAACTTTTTATATTAATTCCTTTATGACTCAATTTATTCGCGTCAATTGATTTTTTCGCCCGACACTACGTAATACACGTTTACTATATTTAATCGTTAAAAATACCTCTGTTTTTGTTTTGCTTAAAACGCGATAATTTTCTTTTGTTTACTCGTAACAAAAATATTGCATATTCAAAATTTTAAGTTTAAAAGAGTAACTCAAGATGGTTGTCAGCCTTTGATGATCTGCTGGATCTATTGTGCTGTACATTGCTTTACATGTAAAAATAATGAGTTGCTGAATAGAGAAAATTTCGGTCTTTTTTTTAATCTAAAATATATTAAAATTAAAAATTAAAGATGATCTGTCTTTCATATTTGAACTTGAATTCCTACATACATACGTACGTGCATTTTAGATAGAATTTCCTGAATTTCTAACAGTTAGCCTTAATTATCCTATCATGCCTCCGATCATACATAACATTAAACTAGTCCAAACAAATTTCAATTCCTAATCCACTAGTAAACATTTACCTAGTGTTTGTGGTCTCTACGCATCATAAGATTTGAGATCGCGGTCTAGTTATGTGGCATTACACAACATCGGAAATCATTAAAACAGAAAAATCACACATTTGCATTTGTTTTTTTCTTTTTTCGGTATTTTGTTTTTTCTATCATGTTTGTAATTCCCTTTTATTCTTCTAAATAAGTCTTAAAATTGAATTTCTTTAAAATCGTTTTTATTAATATAAATAGAAGATGATATTCTCTTTGATAATAATATACAAACCCTTACCAAAGATTTCTGCAATTACCTGTGAATTTCCGAATTTAATTGGCGATAATTTCTATGAACGAAAATTGGGCGTATTTTGTAAAATTTGTTCGTGTGAATAAATCCTGCGTATTTTATTAATAATTATAAACTGGAATGTAATTATACGTATAATTACGGTCTATCATAAGAAGACGAATTCGATTAATTCTACTCTGAAAATCATTTCTAAATTTGACATGAATCAAATTTGATAATTTTTTATACAAGTAACTAACAAAAATTAATCCAATAAAATCTTAATAATAAAGATAGAATTTAGAGTTAAAGTATAAAAAAAATAGGTTTATAAGTATTTTTAAATAAAAAATATAATAAAAATATCGTCATATAAGTATATTATAGTTATAATTACATAATTATAAATAAAAACAACTATAATATATAAATCAATCCAATTTTTATTAAATAAAAACAAATCAAAATTAATTTTAATATAAAATTAAAATTAAAAGCTAGAATAGATGCAAAACATAGTCTACACTAAATTTTGCAAAAAAAAATTTTTTTAGTATTTAAAAAATATTTGCAAGCAAATTTTAAAAAATATATACATTTTTAAGTTTTATTAATACTTTGTATAAAAATTTTATATTTAAATATACTGTACAATATAATACAGTAAATAAATAAAAAATAACAAAAAATATAAATTAAATATTTAGCCAAATTATTAATTAATCTAGTAATTATAAAAA